CTCATGTATTTAAAGGTTTTCTGTCATTATCTCAACTCATTTGGCGTGTATGTCAAGAAATCTTAATAAGGAAAATGATTTTTCAATTCATTTGTATCTACAACTCTAAGATTAATTTCTGTGTATTTTCCCAGTAGAGTAAATCCTTGACTTTCATGATTGAATAGTCACAGTTTCAGTAACTCACAAGAGACCATGAAAGGCCATGATATGTAATAATTTATCATTTTGCTCGGGCTCAAAATTGAATCACTCCCACTGTAAGGCTGCTAGGTAGGAGAAAGTCACTTTGCTAAGGGAAGTAGCCAGGAACACTGCATAAGAGCAATGCTGGATATTATCCATCCTTCACCCTTCCCCAATCCTTTGCCTTGGTAGGTCACATGACCATTTGCACATTAAAGGTCCTGAGAAATCTGGCAATAAATAATCTGTTTCATTTTGTTTAACTCAATATTTCTTTTTTTTTAAGATTTTATTTATTTATTTGATGGAGAGAGAGAGAGAGAGAGCCCAAGTAGGCAGAGCGGCAGGCAGAGGGAGAGGGAGAAGCAGGCTCCCCGCTGAGCAGACAGCCCGATGCGGGGCTCGATCCCAGGACCCTGGGATCATGACCCGAGCTGAAGGCAGACACTTAACCTACTGAGCCACCCAGGTGCCCCATAACTCAATATTTCTCAAATTATTTGAGAACAAACATTTTTCTTGTGGCACACAGTGTACCATGAGACACCAGTTTGGGAACAATGCTTTAATACTTAACTTACAGAATGATTCTGAGTAAAAGATCATTTAAAAGATTTCTGCCCCATTTGTATCCTCACTTTTTTTTTTTTTTACAGAAGACATTCTATACAATGGTCTTATATGCAGTGGTCGGTAGGGGTTTTCTGAAGGTTTTGAGGCTTATCCTGCCCCAGAATACATTCAGATCACGTGCAAGTGGGATATTTTCTTTTATTTTCCCACTTCTGCGCAATTTGTTTTCCCTTCTACATGATGATTTCAGTAATTTTATACTCTGCCTTGTATTTTATTTTATTTGTTCATTTAACAAACACATCTGTAGTGTTCACTGTGTCTAAGTACTTTATTAATAACGACTCATATAACCTAAAATAACTCCACGAGTTAGATACCATCATTATTATCCCAATTGTACATGCCAGAAAACTGTAGTTTCAAATGGTAACAAGGCATTCTTGCCTAGATCTGATTTTTTTAAGAAAACTGTCACAGGTAGTTTCCTTTACTCATATTATTGCTCTCATGGTAAACATAAATTTCATATTATGTAAAGGAAGAAAACCTCCATTCTCTGTCACTTGTTTTTTAATGCGCCTTTAGTCAACATTAAATATTGAAATGTTCTGATTACCTTTCTTAGCCTCTATTGAAATAATTATGTTTTCTATCATTTTTCAGTGAATGTTAATAACATGCTAGCTTTGCTTTACTGAGGCCAACAGTCCTTGTTTATGGTGGATTGCTTGTTCCCGTGTGTTGCTTTGTTTTGTGCATTAAGATTAACATTTTATTTCTAAGCTCATAAATGAGTTGAAAAGCCATTCACTTCTGTAAGGGAGGGGGAGACACAAATCATATTTACCTCAGCCAATTCAATATATCAATATTAATGAAGTAGTTACCATGTTACTCTCTACCAGACATTGTAGAACATGAAAGATTCCAAAATGAGCATAATATGAGGACAATGCTTAGCAGCAGAACTTCTAAGACCATGAAGGAAAAAGAATCGCGTTAGAGAAGACAATGATTTTGAGGACTTTATACGTGCCTAGAATCTGTACAACTTAACAGGTGTTTTCTGCTCCTCGATTTTGGTTTTCCCCAAAGACTTAAGATATTACTTAAACAGCAGAGGCCCCAGATAAACTAGGTGAACACGCAGGACTAACATGACCTCTGTAAGGGCGAAGTCTTCATCCATCTTATTGGCAGCTATATGCCTATTGTGTAGCCAAGCACCAGACTCACAGTGAGTGCTCAATGAACAATTTTATTAAAATGAAGAAATGAGCCAGCTCTTCGACCAAACCAATGGGTCTAGCTGGTTTTTCAAAGGCAGAGTGGCTAGAAATTTGTTCAATGGGTCATCAAGAAAGAAAATGATGCAAAGACTTTATCTTCAGGTGAGGTCAGTCTGTGGGGGGAGGGACAGGGAGCTTGTAGAAATGGGAAAGGGATGGCAGACAGAGTCCTTGGGACCCGGAGAAAGAGATCAAGACTATGAGGTTTTCTGGAAGCTTCCACTCTCCTAGAAATAGAGCTGAGTGTATCTGCAGTCCCAGGTACCCCACCTGGACCGGCACTTGGCGCTTTGCATCCCAAAACTCTCCGAGCTTGTGGGGTCAGGACTTAGGGACAATTAAGGAACACAGAAAAGGTCTCACCTTCCATAATTGTCCCTGACAAGCCCTGAGCCAGTCCAGCCACCTGTTACCTGGTGGCCAAAATACATTCAGACCCAGGCAAACAGATGCTACATGTGGACTGAATACATATATCCCATCAAGTGAGCAAACTTGTCACAAGCACTTCTCTTCTTTCCTTCCACCCTTTTTCATGTCTTCATTGCCTTCCCCAATTTCTCCCCCGGGGCCTTTGAGAAGTTGCTTTCCCCTTTCCAACCCAACTCTATTTTCCCTTCTGGGCCCTCCTCCATCTCAGTTTCCAGATCCTTGCTTTGCCCCCACTCCAACCTCTCCCACTGGGCCCTTTTGCCTTCTCCCCGTGCCTGCTCCTCTGCCTTCGCCCCTGCCTGCCCCCGGCCCCCTCCCCCTGAGCCCCCCTTGCCCTATCACTAGGACCCCCGCAGGTGGCTGTGGATGCTGCCACTGCTTCCTTCTCATCTCTCTCATCTTGGTGGGGTCCATAGCCAGCTCTCCTGTTGCTCAGAGATGTGGAGGCAGTTGCTAAGAGACAGTGAAACGTCAGTACCTGGCCCTCGAGGAAAAAAAGGGAGCGAAAAAGGGAGAGAGGAGGGGGAGAGAGGAAAGGAAGGCGGAGGGAGGGGAAGACCTGGCGGAAGCCACAAACCCCAGCAGCCTCAGCACCAGCTGAGTTTCGGGAAGAAGCATTCGGATTCTGTGAACTTTCTTCTAAGCATCCTCTCTCTGATTCCCCTTTTTGAGTAAAAGAAGTCCCTGGGAGCACAGGACAGGAAACCACAGAGGATGCTGCCCTGGGATCCAGGAGCCATGGAGGAGGAGAGGCCGGGGGAGGGGAAGTGCCGGCGAGGCAATCTGTTCTCCTGAAGCAGCAAGCGGGATTCCAGGATGAGGGAGGGAGACCCGTGTCTGCTGCAGATTGATGGCTGTGTCCTTGGAACAGAGTAAGTGGGCTCCTGAGGGCCTGTGGGAGTGCAAGGCGAGACCCTGGGGTTCAGAAAAATGGGTCTGGATAAAGGAGCTGGGTGATTTCCCAGTGGGCGGGATTGAGGCTGGAAATGCTGGGAAGGGAGGCAGTGCTAGACCAAGGGGGTGAGGGAGGACAAGTGAGGACAACCAGGGGCCACAGAGGATGCGGGGGCCACAAGGGATACGGGTGAACGGCGGGCTGAGACACCCGTGTGTCATCGTGTGGTCTCTCCTGCCTGACCAAATGTGGGCGTGGGCTCACGCTGGGGGGCAGAGTGGGGCGCTTGCAGAAAGGGCGCTAGGATTACGGGTGTGCATGGGGGGATGGGGCAGGCTGGAAAGGGGGCTCTGCAGGAGGGCGTGTACAGAAGAAAGCTGGACAGAAAATTGGGAGGTGTGAGTGCAGGGCAGGGCAAAATGTGGGGGATCACAGGAGAACAATGTGTGCATTTGTGCGTGCGTGCGTGTGTGTGTGTGCGTGTGTGTGTGTGTGTGTGTGTGTGTGAAAGAGATGAGGGAGAGGGTGAGGGAGGGAGAGGGGAGTGCTAACCTTGTCTGAAAGGGGTATGCAAACGACCAGCACCAGTGTGTGTGTGCATGTTTTCTTAGAGAGTTGTTCGAGGGTGGGGTGTTTGGTGCTGACCGGCGAGGCTAGGAGGAGAAGCGAATGCATCTCGCCCAGGACAGAACCCCGGAGGAGGACGGGCAACCACAGCGTGAGGGTGGGGTCCAAGCCCACTGCTGCCTGCACCTGACCCACAGTTCACAGAGAACTCTGTGGCTAGTGGCAGAGAAGAAGGGGGGCAGGGAACCTAGGAGGGGACAACGGGGTGGAGAGGGCCTTGGAGATCTCTGCCTGAGTGCTTTCCTTATTGACAGAGGGAATTCTGCCCCCGCCTGCTGAACACAGTGCTGGGCTGGGAGAGAGGCACTGGCTCAGGAGAAGTCGCCAAAGCTGTCCTAGCTGACCCCCATCCTGCACCTCCAGGACACATGGCTCTTTCCGGCCTTGGCAGGCAACAGTGGGTGTCACTCGGGGTCCTCCCCAACCTGGGGAAAGAAGAGCCTTCTTGGGGATTTCAGTAGATGCTGAGGCTGAGGACTCGGGCTTTCAGGAGGCCCATGGAGACCCACTCCCCACCAGGCTCCCTTCCCAAAACACCCACCCCAGGACCCCCTTGGACTCAAGCCCCCTGGGCCATCAGGAGGAATGGCTTCTGAGACCTCCAATGCTGGAGACCCAGATGCAGCCCTGGCCTCCTAATAGGTCCCCGACGTGGGACAGGGCTCAGGGTTTTTAGACTTACCAGAACCTTTCATGTCCTCCCCCCACCCACCCACCACCAGCACCTCTCCAACATAATACAGAGAGGAAGCACCCAGCAGTCATGAGTGAGAGGAGCACAGATCCCCAGAGACCCTTCTATGACCTGCTAGCAGCTGGTCCAGCCCCATCCTCAGCTCCTTCCTCTCCCAAGTTTTGATCATCTTCTCAGACCCTGAGGGACCTCAGCTGGATTTATTGTCCCCTGGGCTCCAAAGGGGGCTTCCTGGGGATCTCACCTAAGGAGCCCTCTGGTGCTTAGAGGCTCTGGGGAAAGGCTTGAGCCATGATACCACATGCCCAGAAGCCCCACCTTCCAGGACTCTGGCCCTGATGTAGCTGTCTTTCTGAGCCACTGACTCTTGACTCATGGACATAGCCTCAGCTCCAGTGGGCTCCCTACAGTACTGTTGTTGCTAGCTGTCTAAGATGGGTGACACCTGGTCCCAGCTGCCCTGGCCTGGGCCCCCCCACCCAGCCATGCTGCTGGTCTGCCTCCTCTTGGCAGCCGGGGTGATGCGCTCGGACGCCGGCACCAGCTGCCCCGTGCTTTGTACGTGCCATAACCAGGTGGTGGACTGCAGCAGCCAGAGGCTCTTCTCCGTGCCCCCCGACCTGCCAATGGACACCCGAAACCTCAGCTTGGCTCACAACAGAATCACAGCCGTGCCGCCCGGCTACCTCACATGCTACATGGAGCTCCGCGTGCTGGATCTGCGCAACAACTCCTTGATGGAGCTGCCCCCGGGCCTCTTTCTCCACGCCAAGCGCTTGGCACACCTGGATCTGAGTTACAACAACCTCAGCCACGTGCCAGCCGATATGTTCCAGCAAGCCCACGGCCTGGTGCACATCGACCTGAGCCACAACCCGTGGCTGCGCAGGGTGCATCCCCAGGCTTTCCAGGGCCTGGTGCAGCTCCGAGACCTGGACCTCAGCTACGGGGGCCTGGCCTTCCTCAGCCTCGAGGCCCTCGAGGGCCTGCCGGGCCTGGTGACCCTGCAAATCGGCGGCAACCCCTGGGTGTGCGGCTGCACCATGGAGCCGCTGCTGAAGTGGCTGCGGAACCGGATCCAGCGCTGCACGGCGGGTAAGGCGGGTGGCCAGGACTGGGCAGCCATGGGGACAGAGGGTCTTGCCTCACTGCAAGCAAAGTCTCCAAAAAACAGGGAGGGACTGAGAGCTCTTGGCAGCCGGCATGTGCCCCGGTCTGTGCTGGCCTCTGGGTGCACCAGCCCTTTCACTCCACCAGTATTATCCCTGAGGTGCTTGCTGTGCATGTTGGCCCTGGGGACCCATTCATTAATGAGACACACCCAGCCCTTGCCTCTGTGGCACTTATGACCTAAAGCGGCAGACAGATAGTAAACAAGAGTAGCTAATAATAGACAGTGTGTGCTGACCTTTCACCCTGACCTAAGAACTTGGCACGCGCCGAGTGGCTACCCCACTCTTATGACCCCCATTTTGCAGGGGAAGAAACTGAGACCTAGAACAATGAAAAGACTTGCCCAGAGTCACTCATTTAGAAAGCAGCAGGGCTGTGGATAAAACCTAAGTTTATTTGACTTGTAAGCCCCATTCTACTCTACTCTACTCTCTGCTTTTTAAGTGTTCTAAGTGCTGGGGAAACTCAGAGAAATAGAAATGGCTAACACCCTTCATTTTAGTACTTACTATCTGCTTTATTCTAAGCATATTTCATATTTAACTCATCTCGTCCTCATAAGAACCATGATGAGACACACACACACACTACTCTATAGAGAAGGAAACCAAGGCACAGAGAGGTTCAGTAACTTGCCCAAAGCCACACAGCTGCTAAGTGTTGGAGTTGGGATTCAAACCCTGGCAGTCTGGCTGCCTTCTGGCTTTGTCCTGAAGAGTCGGGTCCAAACCTAACAGAAAGAGTCATGGCAGAGTTCTGACTGGCCAAAGGGCCTCAGCAGAGCTCTGCAAGGTTTGGACATGGGGTGGGGAGCTGAGAAGAGAAATGGATGTGGCAATTTAACCAACCAATCCCAACTGGGGGTGCGCTGGGGACTGGAGGAGCCTGAGTCACACAGGCTTCATGGGCCCTGGCCTCTCCCGGAGGCAGGCAATGTTCAGCTGTGGTCCCCGCCCCCGTCACCAGCTCTCTCCTGTGGCAGCGCTGAGCCTTGGCACAGCCTCCAGCAGAACAACAGGAAATAACTGGGGGCACCATCTCAGGGGATCCCCCAGAGCCCGGCTCAGAGTATGTTCAAAGGAAGCGATGCTGAGTGAGGTAGGAGGGAGAGGAGGACTGAGTGGGGAGCCCAGGACCAAAATAGTTTGGGGGGGCTGTGGGTCACGATTCCACTGTTTCTACACAGCTGCAGGAGGAAGTTCTCTGGGACCAAAATAGCTGGGGATGGAGATGGGGCAATGCTAGGGGGCATGAGGGGGAGGCTGCCTGGAGCAGTCTCCCACCTGCTCACCCTTTGCAGGCTGCACATCTTCGCCTCTCTCCTGTGCACTAAGGACAGAAAGGGCACTCTGGAGCACAGCTTCCACCACACCCCAGGGGATCCCTCTTTTCTGTGATCTCTGAGGCCCCGGCTGCCCTTCAGAAGCAGCAGAGCCTCCCACCGAGCAGGACAGGGGCCTGAGATCCCATCTGTGCAACCTCATGGCAGTGCAGATGAGGGACTTGTGTTCCAGAGAGGGAAAGTAACTGTCCAGTGGCCACGACTAGAAACCTAGGTCCCCTGTTCTCCACAGAATGTACTTTTTACTGCCTCCCACTCTCCAGGATATTTCCTCTTGGGTGCAAAGAACTCGCCAGTGTGCCTAGGACCAGGCGATCCCTTTCCCTTTGTCATCTTCTTTTTCTTCTCCCACTATTATCCATGGTTTTTGGACAAATCCCAACAAAGAGGGACAGAAGGGTGTCCTTGGGATATAACTCAACCTCAAGGCTGGTCCCTTGACTAACCAGAGGGCTTTGTCATCCCTCGGGCTCTGATTCTGAATTCCCTCAAGGTCCTGCCAACTGCCCTCAGAGCCTTCTCTGCTGGATCCCTACCAATTGCCCTCAGTTTCCCCCACATTCCCCAGCATCACATGGTGGCACCACCACCCCAGTCACGCACACAATAGACTTTGGAGTTCAGCGTCTTCAGTTCCAAGAGGAGAGCCCTTGATGGTTAACTCCAGACATGATCTTGTCCTGAGCAGGGTCTGGAGTGCTGTGCTTGTGGCCTACAGGGACCCCTCCACCTGAAGTTTGGAGCAGATTGCATCTTCTTCCCAAAACTGACTCTGCATTTCTAAGGAGAATGATGGTCATCCATTTGTCAAAAGGGTCAATCAAAATCCATTATTTTATTCTTTTCCCCCAAAGCTACAGGATGAATAAATAGCCTTTATGCACCACCTAATTTAGAAAATGTCTTCATGTTGACTCTCTTAAACAATTTAGGTTGAATTATCCCCCTCTTATGGAGGGAGAGCATGAGAGTCAGAAAGGTAAAAAAGGCTTGCCCAAGGTGAGGGTTTGGTGAATGTTTATCCACCCAGCAAAAGAATGGCTGCCTGCTGGAAAGCCAGTGCTTGGTACTGAATGGCAAAACTGCTACCTGCACACCACACTCACCTCCAAGGCAGAGTAAGATGAAACCACTGACAACCATCATGCATTTGTACAAGTGACCCTGGAAGGGTAAGGTGGGACCATCAATGATGGAGAGAAAAGTAATCCCACTGAAGCAGACGCCCCTCCTACAGAAGTCTATGTGCAGAATATGACCCTCACTGGCCTGTCCAGGAGACAAGCCGAGGATAATAACAAAAGCACACACTTCCATAGTACTTATTATCCACCAGGAATATATTATTTATATATGTTAACTCATTGAGTCCTCACTACAACCCAATGAAGTAGATACTATTATTATCCTCGTTTTACAGATGAAGAAAGCAAGACACAGAGGGGTTAAGTAACTCGCCCACAATCACACAACCAGTGTGGGGTAGAAAGGGAATTTGAACCCAGACCAATATCTTCACAGCCCATACTCATAACGCTATACTCTGCATACCTGGAAAACCACATGGGATAGTAGAAAGACCCAACACTTCGAAGCTGGACAGAGTCATCCATCCACACATTCACTTAACAAAGTGTCATTCACTTTCACAGATAGGAGACTGTTCAGAGACTAGGGACACCATGGGAAAAACTTATATTTAAGGGGGAGGAGACTGATAATAAAGAAATTGTAAGACATGATAAATACAATGGAGAAAAATTAAGCAGAGTAGGGAAGTAGAAAATGCCCAGAGAAAGGTGAAGTGGAGTTACTATGTTATATAGAATCATATAGAAAGACCCCATTAATAAAGTGATATTTGAGCAAAGTCCCCAAGGAAGCAAGGGATGGAGCTGTGCTGAGATTCAGGGGATAAATGAGACAAATACAACAGCTCCCCCTCTCCACCCTGAAAAGGGACATGCTCAAGGTGATGGAAGAATGATCAAAAGTGTGTATGGATGGAGCACAGTGAACAAGGAGCAGAGGGAAAGAGATGAGAAGAGTCCTTGTAGCCCACAGTGAGGACCTTGGCTTTCATTCCATGGGAAGGTAAGAAGTCAGGGGAGGGCTTCAAGCACAGAGTATATGACAGGACTTCAGGTATGAAAGATACTGAGTGAACTGCTTCAAGATTGTTTAAAGGCAGAAGCCAGAAACCAGTTAGGAGGCTATTGTAAGAGATGATGATGTCCCATGAAAGCCCCAGACCTACCATCAGCAGGGACTATTGGACTTGAGGCAAGTTACTAAACTCTCTGAGCAGCCATCTCCACAACTATAAAAGCTGGTATAAAAACACTTGATTCAAGTGTTGTTGAGGAGAATAAAGAAGGTAAGTAAAATTTTTGACACATAGAAGAAATTCAATAAAAAAAAATCTCAACTTCTCTTGGGAGGTGTGGAGGACTATCTGTTCCACTCTCTCCTCCGGCCCCTCACCATTCCTGGGTTCTGTGTTGCAGATTCTCAGCTGGCTGAGTGCCGGGGCCCCCCTGAAGTTGAGGGCGCTCCACTCTTCTCCCTCACTGAGGAGAGCTTCAAGGCCTGCCACCTGACCCTGACCCTGGATGATTACCTCTTCATTGCGTTCGTGGGCTTCGTGGTCTCCATTGCCTCCGTGGCCACCAACTTCCTCCTGGGCATCACAGCCAACTGCTGCCACCGTTGGAGCAAGGCCAGTGAAGAGGAAGAGATTTGATGTGGGCGCCTGGCGTCCCTCCATGCTGCTGGCCACCACTGCTGGTGACCACCAGACACTGCTCACTCTGGCTCTTGGTGCTCTGGCCATCTCTGTCATGACCCAAACAAGGTCAGGAAACTACCTTTGTGTGATCTTCAACTGTGGGCCAGACACTGTGCCAGAACTGGAAACGTCCGATGACTCTGACCTAGTCCTTGCCCCCAAGGCTCTTACCTCTAATGGAAGAGAGAGATTCAAAAACTATTCCCTTTAAGACAATTTGTCAGCACTCTCAGCACATAGTTATGAAAGTGCAGAGGAGGCATCATCAATTGTGCCTAGAAAAGTCCAAAAGAATTACAAGAATGGAGGAAATTTGTGAGCTGACTCATCAAAAAATGTCTGCTTTGTCAAGTAGACAAAGAAGGGTGGACATGAGCAAATGACAGAGGCCAAAATATGCATGGTGTGTTGAGAACAGTGACCAACCCTTGTGACTTAAGTGTATAGAGCAGGTGTGGCAGAGGACCAAAACTTCCCTCTGACACCAAATCTTTCAGCTCCTGGAGTTGCCCACCACTGCCTCCAGAAGGAGAGAACACCTCTGTGCCAGCCCCCTAAGCCTCCTCCTGCCAGGAGCTACCAGGTGAGATCACTTCCAAATGACTGCCCCCCCATACTACATCCACCAATTGCAGCCTGCCAGTGAGGTCCCAGGTATCAAGCTGAGGTACCTACCCTTGTCTCCTGCCTCTCGCTCAAGCTTTGGCTTCAGAAGAGAGAAGCAAGAGGTCTAGCAATGGGGCAGCAAGAGTCCTGGCACCTTGGAACTCCTAATTTTGTGACTGTTCTTGCCATGGCGCTCACGCCAAAGGATCTCACTAAGAAAGTACGCTGCAGTATGAGGGTAGCCAAGATTGAAGGAGGAGAAGGCCACCACAGTTACGACTGTAGGAGATTTTCTCTTTCTCCCAAGCAATTCACCCATTTAAGCATCAGGGTATGGGAACTATTAATTACCAAGCACTTGCCAGTATCAGGCACTGTGATAAGCTCTCTCCACAGACAATTCCCTTTAATGCACACATCAATCTCATGAGGTAAGCATTGTTGTTCCCATTGTATAGATAAGGAAATGAAGACTCAAAAAGAGTTTAAAGTCACATGTTGCTTAACAAGCAAAATAAAGGCTGTGCTCTTTCTACCCTATCCAAGCTGGGAAATATCACAGTTCCCTCTAAAGTTATACAAGTTCGAGTTCAAGTAGTTCTGATGAATAAGTGCTCCCAGTAATAGCCAGGCACTCTTTGGGCACTTTTAAATCTACCGACTCACTTATTTCAATTCTCACAGCAACACTGCCTAGTGGTCTTTATTATTCTCATTTTACAGATGAATTAATTGTAGAGAGCTGAGTATCTTACCCAAGGCTATCTGGGTAAACTCTAGAAGGAAGGTGAGAGTCAGCTCCAGTTATGGAAACTGTGTCTAATCAGTCCATCAAAAATCAAGCAACTTCATGTGCAAAGCACTATTATCATCATTGCTGCTGTCATGTCCATCCTCATCATCAGCCTCATCAGCTCCTTCCCTGAATTTGTTCAGCACTGGACAGCTCCTAACATGCTGTTTGCATCATTCTTGACTTTTCACAGCCCTGTGTGGGAAGCAAACCAAACATAATTACTCCTATTTTACGGATTGGAAAATAAAGACTCAAGAGCAGGCATGACTTGCCAAAGCAGTAAGGTTGGGGCTCAACTTCAACTCGGTTCTCTCTCCAGCTTTCCTGGGTGCTTGGGGAAGAGAAGGCCCAGGATGGCCGGGTAGTGGGGCTCTTGGATTCAACAGCCATGAATGTCCAGTAGATCAGCTAAATAAAAGGCAGTAAACCAGCCGCTGCACAAATTGAGATGTGCTCACAGTAGAGCAAATCATAGCCTCTGAAACACAGAAGCAGGACAAATAACACCTGAATAGGAGTCATCTGCCTTGCAAAGTGTAAATAACACATTAGAACCAGTGGCCACGGTGGCAGTCATGCAAAAAAGAAGTTCTTTGGGAAACAAGAGAGAAAGCTGTGCTAACCCCTCCTACTCAAGCCCTGCTGTGCTGTGTTGCAAGAGATACAGAGTGCAGGAGAGCTGTGCGGTGAGAACCTCAGCAGGATAGGGGAAGACATTAAGGCACAGTCCAACATGTTGGTAAGGCTGGCCAGGATAAAGATTAAAACAGGGGCTTTCTACATTGTCCTCCAGCTCCAACAAGTTTGCATCATCCCATCCTCCTGGAGAAGGAATAAAGGAAAATAACATGTCAACTTCCAAGAAGTCTTCCCTTACTCATGCTTCCCTGAGCTAGTCAACCAAAAGAGCACCTAGAAACTTTGCTAGACCTGGGGTACTTGAACCTTGTATCCCCTGAATCTCACTAACAACATTTGGGCAAGAGCCTGCTCCTATGACATTTGGAGCAGAACTGTACCTGCTCTCTTCTTCCATTATATCCAGGCTGCTCTTCACCAGTCAAGCTAACAGCTTAATGTATTTGGAGAGGAACTTTTAGAAAAAATAGTCTTGATGCAAATAGCTAAGCCTCCCATAGAGGGACACCATATACATCTATTATAATCTCCTAGAGACTCTTATTTGCTGAAATATAGTTAATATATTTTAAGATATGTACCTTTTTGCATAGAACTAGAACCAAACAAGACACCAAATGCCCCTTGAATTCAAATGTCCTTTCTAATGAGACTATTTAGTTCCCATTAATGGCAAACATTTCTGAGTAAATCTGTTCATTTAAAGAACAGATTATTCTCCAGCTGCTAGAAGGTCCCCAGTTAACTAAAGCACAATGATAAAACTCCTTGCCTGCCAAGGAATTCCATGTCTCCTACCACTACAACCACCATCTTGTGCAGGCTATCAGAAGCAAGCTTCTAGAAGCACACTTTTCTAAAGGTAATATAACTGCCCTAGTTGTAAATGTTCACACAGCCCGACTAACCAAGAAACCGTGATGGTATTCCTACAAACCTTGAATAAGTTTTTTCCAGACCAGTTAACATGTAAGTGTTGGGGTATCTCTGAGTCCATGTGTCTGTTCATGAGGTACCACGTATATTGGGTATCTACTGATATGGGGCCAATGTCTCTGGAACTTGAGTTCAGTTGTCTGACACAGTACATTCAGCCATCTGTTTATTGCATCACTTGATGCACTGAGGTGGAATCCCACTAGGGTTGGGTTTAGGGATAGCTGCTCAGAAAAATATAAAAAGAAAAATATGTGGCTGAGGCAACCTAGCAACAGCCTGACTGCTTCCCTCCATTCTCTATCCCTCACAAATTTGTCCTATCACAGAAGCTTCCTTCATGCTGGGACTGAAGATGTCAAAGTTTAGCTAACCAACAGGGCTATGATGGTCAAAGTCTGGACCAAGAAAATTGTTCTTTAGAAAAGACCCCAATCTGCACCACACCACTCTAGATCAGTTGCTTCTGATAACCCTCAGACAAACCCTCATCTGTTTCTCCATTCCCAAAGGGATTACCAGGAAATCCTGCAGAAATAAGTCCCCAGAGTTGCTATATAGAGTTTACTAGCTCCTTTCAAGGAAGATGGTATATGTAATTTGAATAGACCAAGACAGGTATTTCTCTTCAACCATCGGGAAAGACCTAAAACCTTCATTTTCCTTATAGATGTCTTTACTGATACTGCTCTGACATCCTTTTCAGCTCTAGAAGAGTGTAAGGAGACATCTTTACCCATTCCTCAGAAGAACAATTTCCCAAAGCTAGAGAAACTTGTCTGCTCTACCCACCTCAGAAGGAGGCAAAAGGGAAGTGAAGGAGGCAAGTTGCAAGGTCCTGTGTAAATCACCACCATGTTTGCCATAACACTGGGTGGAGAGCTCTGGATCCACTGAGCTCTCAGTTTTTCTAAGCATTGTCCTATGGAATGCTGATGTCTGGGGGTGGGAGGGTTAGGGAGGGGTGGGGAAAGGGAAGATGCCAACCTTTGTACGGAGATGATTTTATAACCATGCACTTTTGTAACTGTGAAGAATTTTTCATAAATGTACATTAATAATAAAGAGTGTATAGTTTAACAAATTTTCTCAGGAGTTGTGAAGAGGAGGGAGAGGGAGGGGGCAGGGAAAGAAAAAGAAAGAGAGAGGAATTCGGCAGAATCAAGAGAATATGTGCCAAAATATACACACAAAAGGTCTATGGGGAGGGAGTAGATGGGAATAATTAGGAGATGTGCCAGCCATGGAGGGGCATGTGTGGGAGTAGAAGGAACATCACAGAAGCATATTTCTACCAGGCAAAAATAATACGCATGTGTCTGTATGCACACACCCCTATGTGTAGGCATATTTTGGTGCCTGAAATTACACAAAGAAGAGAGCATATGTCTTATACATGTTGGTGTTTGCAGCTTGGGTCATCTATAAAACATGCCAAGGCAAGTGGGTGTGCCTGCCTAGTTAGCATCTCTAAGGAGCATGTGCCAGGGAGATGGCCCACACTAGTTGTGTGGGCATAAGGACCCTAGCTTAGGCATACAGGTAAACCAGGCATCTAAATGCATGGTGTAGGGGCTAGATGATGCCATCACTGGTATAGATTCAGTCTCTGTTCTCATAGGTTAATAAAGAAAGGAAGGGATTTTCAATGTCTTGGGTCTTGCAAATGTTACTTACACACCATTGGAAATGAGATGGTTGGGCAATGTACCCTGGGAAAAGGGACCAAAAAAAGGAGCAAATTGTACTTCTATAAATATAATCGCAGCTGTTTTTTACTCAATACTCTAAAGAGGGAGTGGATCTGAGCAGGAAGTTGATCTAAGCAGGAAGTGGATCTAAGCAGGAAGTGGATCTGAGCAGGAAATGGCTCTAAACAAGAAGTGGTTCCTTCCACCAATAGGGATTTTCACCTTCCTGTGTGCCTCCCACTCCAATTGCCACAGGGTATGGAAAAATACTGCACTCAAAGAATAAA